TGCATCGATCGCCGAATGTGTAGGTTAGGCAGCGACGTGGGCACCTTTAGTTTAGGGTTAATAGAGTATTCAGGTCATTTATTATTGCTGTTCTTCCAGTTGTGGTTTTACCCTATCATTGGCAACAAGAGCGGTAACGAAGGAGCTCGGAAGAGGACGAGCAGTAACAGTAACCGCAGAATGTGTCATGTAGCATCATGTACTTGTAGTAGCGCATGATGTAGAAGAAAGTGTCAGCGAATATCGCAAGACAACGCAGGGCAGTTGGACAGCACAGCATGCTGGCAATAGGGGTAGGTCTGGCCAGACACTGCCTTCTACTCTCTAGTTCTGTATACCTGCAGCGCAGTGTTAGTTTTGCTATGTCATGTAGGATGGCGCGTGATGTCTGACAAACATACTAGGTGGCACGTGCGTTGACAGCATATAACGGTATACCATACCAGAATGCCATCCTTCAACGCAATTCAAAGCCTTTGTGCACCGGTGCACATACTGCAAAAAAAATCAAGTTGGGTGGCATGTAACGTGACTTTGCATATTTGTTGCCTACGCTCGTGAACAATAGCATTCATTTGGCATATGCCACAGTGCATAGCACTTGATGTCCACTGCGAAACCACGAAACATCTACACATGTACAGCATTAGAGTATGCCGAGGCACATGTCTTCGATATGGAGTAAAGAGGCTGCAAATCAAGATCACATGTCGCAGGAAGCATGTCACATGTGTCGCTGCGACAGACCACTTACGATTCAAGGTTTCAACACTTTACGTAGTCTATAGCACGTCGCACTTCACAAGTAGCATGCCGTGCAACGACGTATCTTAAGATCCAACATTGGGTACGCGATAATGAAGATGGAGTCGCCAGGTGCTGGTGTGTGCATGTGCTGGATAAACATCGTGCCAACAGGGCCGTCTCGCGAAGCCCCGAACGAAAGAGCAGAAGATCCTGCAGCAATAAGGCTTTCTTTGGCATCATTGCTGGAAGCAGCTGTGGCACCCTCGGCACGTAGTCGGCTGTTTCTTCAACTGCCTTCCAGCTTGATTGGTTAGTTGCATACTTTTCCCACGGGACTCGCGTGTAGACCGTATACCTGCAGAGTGCTTATTCAGTATGCCTCATATTGTTTACTGGAGAATAGACCGGTATACCCTATGACCTTCCGGATGAAGATTCCAGGCTGTTGTTGCTGCGTGGTTTGCTGCTGGCTGCGCCGTCGCTACGTTACAGATGTCTATGCGGTGCGCCCATCCACCGCCAATAAACGTCAGGTTGTCTAGCCAGTATATCTAAATCAGCTTCTGATCACCAACTGCAACAGGCCTGCACCACTTGCATAGCTGACGGATGTTGTAGTATCCACAGGCCTCCCGAGACTCCGGAGACTGTTGGAAGACTTGTCAGACACTTCAGCTTGTAGTGCTGCGAGCTCACTCCATGCATTAGCGGCATCAGTCGGCATGTGTACGGTTGCACAGCGGCGTCTGATAAAGTGTCGTGGCAGGATTGGGAGGAAAGCGAGGAGGAGGGCTTCGAAGAAGATCCCGTGATTGATGTGATCGCAGAGAAGTAGCCACAGAAGGCTTCTGTGGCGGTCTCGAGTGGCGGTCGGAGACATAGTATCTGCTCGGGGTCTGTTTGCAGGGTGCTGTGGAAGCTTGCGGTACGGTTTCATCTTATTTCATCCCACAAGTCGTAATGCCGTTCAAGGATATCAAACGTAGAGGCTTTCAACATGCTGATGCAGCTTGCGCATGTTCTGCGAAGCAGACCATGGCGTAATAGCGTAGTAGGTAGGGTTGGGGACAGGGCAGCGTGGACCCAGACGGAGGCAGAATTATGTGAAACCATGTTTGTCCTTGTTCTGCTGGGGGCCAAACGAGGAGCATCGTGTCCCCTGTGTCTCACAAGCCTAAAGAGCGAATCGGACGCACGTGGACAGTCAGATGGGAGTGCGCTCTCGTCCAATTGCAACACAACTTCAAGTTTGATGGTGAGCAACCCATGCATCATAAAATGAGCGAGTAGTGTCGTCATCGGCTGATGTATTCATCTCTTTCATGCATGGAGTCGTGTCTCAATCTCGGGCTTCTGTTGCCACGCCCGGCTTTCTGTGTAGAGGCCTGAACAAAATCATAATGCTGGAGATGGCCAGAGCAGAGCCGACCCAAAAGGGAACACTCCCACCACAACCGCATCAGTAGGTTGGTGTCGTGACGCTCCAAGGATAAGTCGCAGTGGCAACCCTTGGAGCTCATGACGAGTGCCAAAGGCACCACGACATGTTGGAATTCAGAAGTCGAGAGATCCCTCCTGCACAACAACCAGCATGGCGCCCCTAAGCTTCCGATTCAGAGTTAAAGATGCTGGTGATCTGCAGCCGCGCCTGCATATGGGCCGCTGCATAGGATCAAGGCGAAGTCGTCGATGCCAGTGGGATCCAAAGAGCTGCAGCTGCCAAGCTGCGTGCACGGCCTAACATGGCAGAAAGGAAGGCACAGATTTATTCCTTTGACGATGCCCACTACTCAGTAGACTGGACATGAAAGTTCCTGTGCAGTCGTTGCCGCACCTTTCACCGAATTCGCGTATCCGTCTAGCCAGATATCATCAAGGCTGCGCGAGCAAAGAATGACTGAGCGGCCTTCGTAAAGATGGCTAGTCAAGCAATCTACATCGCGACGATGCAGTGAAGGTGCTCTCTTAGTGCGACAGCACCACCCGGACGAGTCAGGGCCCCAACGAACTGCCCCTGCGAAGTGTGGAGGAGGGCCCGACACTTTTTTGCTGCATGGCGACAACTTTGTGCGTGATAATCAGCAGCTGGGTCGCAGGCTTGGCTGCTTAGGAGTGTTGTCTTACTTATTGCCGAAGGTGGAGCATGTGTAGCCTAAGAGCGGGAGGGGGCAGAGAGAGAGAGGGGGCGCAGCTAACTAGGACTCATTACATAAGTGAGGTGCGAGAGTTCATGAGAGGAGGCTTGGCATTCTCGACACGGTCCGAGAGCATCTCGCCGCTGGCTCGAGGCACTCCTAAGTTTCACATGGGCCGACAACCGCAGGCATGAGCGGTAGCTAGCTACATTCCCGAGTCAAGACCGCATACCATTTCGAAGCCGAAGACTGCAAACCTCACGACAACCGCTCGATATGAACATGAGGCTTGTTTCGCAAGAACAGCAACCAAGGACGACTAGACGCAGTAGTTACTCCGCTCACGTGATTTCGCATTGTGCGTTACGGGGAAGCTTGGCATTGCCTTGTCAGTGGCCATGTTCCAGGCAGGGGCAACGTGTGCAAGTGTAGTTAATTGCCACTGCATTCTTTAGGGCTGCCGCGACGGGAGCTCAGAATTGCTTTTTGCAGAAGATCCTAACTACGCGCCATGCGATCAGTTCAATGTGACGACTCATGAGCAATCGCTCTTCGCAGCTTGGGCGGTCTATCGTAAGGTGTTCTACTGGTACCCTGCTCTTTGTAATGTTGTGCGACATGTTGTGCAGGCGCAGGGTGATTCCGAGAACCGGTCGCCTGCCAAGTTTAGTTACACCGAGGACGAACTCGAACTGAGTCGCTGTGAAGCAAGACTAGGATCTTGTTGGCATTGTGCTAAATTCTGGCGTCAGGCTCTTCGTCACCAAGATAGCGCCGTTCAACACTCAGCAGGTGCGGCAGTCCCCTCTTGCGCACTCTTGCAGCTGTGCATCCTCAACACTATCGTTCAGCATTGAATTGGTTTCTGCACATCGTCACTGCGACTCAGCACGCGAACCGTGGCATTATTTGCAGGATGTTGCTCAGCACTTCCAGCAGTTCGGCATCACAACAGATGCGTCCAGACGGCACATGGGTAAGAATCTTCCCCAGCCTTGCCTGGTACAGGTATGATAAATGCTGCTAGCTTAACTCATTCCTGCCCTCATGCAAGCACGCTGCGGGGGCCAATTGGCTCTTCACGAACGAGGGCTAGGTGCGACAAACTTGTCGGCTCTTTAGTGGCCAATTTCGGGTCTTTTGCTTCAGTGCTTGCTTTGACTGCGACCTAACATGGCCAAAGTTTCTGCGGACTGATTCCAAGTTGTGACCGCCGGCTTTGGAGCTTCTGCACTGCTTCGAGGTCTACCTGCCCTCGGTGCCTGGCCGGCCGGGGCACAAGGCCATGCCTAGCTACTAGCAGCTAGCAGTAGGGCATGCCCCGTGCGAGAAAGCACCATGATGTGAACGCCTATGCTTGAGAGTTGCGTTCCTGCCAGGGCATCGCTTTTGTCTCCTTTCAAGATCCGACTGCAGTTCAGGCCGATACACAGCTTTACTGCTGATTGGGGGCTATGTTGAGACTGTTGAGAATTGGGGACAGACGGACTCTACGACAAGGCTACTGTCTTGCGGCTCGGCTTGGTTCGCAGGTGCTGCACGAAGGTCAGGAAACAGACATGACGAGATTTGTGGTGGTTGTCTTGGCACTTGCCCGGCTGTGCTCGCACGTGTCCCGTGAATTAAACCAGAAGGGCACATCCCGAACGACTGCAAATACGAAGTGTGGCACTGGCCGTGGAGCCTCGGATCTCCTGTTCGTCCCCTCGTGGACACGTTTAGTTTTACACTCGCTTTCGGTTTCTCTTCAGGTTTCGTGAGCATGTGACGACTCACCAGTTTCGACGACTTCTGCTTTGGGCCGTTTGCACTGCCTGTGCTGCCAGTTGGCGATGAGCAGCGGGCCGCATGTCATCAACGGCAACGAGGTTCCGATTTCGACCATGCAGTGGGGAAATAATCGCACAAGTTCCATAGGTCTCTGCGGATAGCTAAGATTCAGATGTGGGTCATGTCATCAGCTCTGCTCTTCAGAGTGCACGTAGATGCATGCGGATGAACTACGGTTCTGTGCTACACTATTTTCAATGCCTGAATGAGAAGTGCTGCTAAGCTGGTGCCTCTCCAGCAACCCTACGCGCCGTCTGATCCCCAGCCGTCACATCGACACGAGACGAGGTGGTGGTTGACATCGCCGCTCCTCGCGCCGGAGGGAAGGGCGAGGCCTTTCTGCTGCCGCGTCTCATCATGTGCGATGGCGTTCATGGCCTTTCTCATGGTGTTCTGACTCCGCGATTCTACCTTCCGCAGGGGCACGCCTCGCATCAGGCCAGCCATAATCAGGCCGGCTGCGTGAAAGGCAGAAGTCGCTAATCGCGAAAAGCTCGACAGCGATCCGAGGCTGGCGCGGCTGGCCTGGCCTCCTCCCAGGCCCTGAGCAGTTGCACCGAAATAGAGTCTAGAATAGTCTAGAGGATCTAGAGGCTCTAGGAAGTTCTTGGCCGACGGGCGGTCGCAGTCTCTGTCTCGCCCTCGGCCATTAAGCTTGCTTGTACGCTGGCAGGGCAACAACGGCGACAGGCTCTTTGTCACCAAAGTGCCATCGACGCTGAATCGGGTGACTCAACTGCCAGTGATGGTTGACCGATGTTCTGTCGAAGAAGCAAGTTTCTGGCCGAAATTGCAACAGGTGAAGAACCGACATGAACCCACCGTACTCGCTCCACTTGCCGATGCTCCGTGATGCTCTCCTACAGTATCATCATCAGATAGGTTCACGCATCCGCGATTTCGAAGGCAGACATGCCTATCCGCAGGGGAACATGAAAACATGTTTGCAATGCCTCATGCTTCGTTCCGACAGTGCAAACCGCTGCAGATCCGACCTTCGGAGCTATAAGATCGGCTGGGCTTCTTAGATGAGCTAAGCTCTCACGAGGGCGTTTCTTCTGAACTCGCACAACCGCGACAGCATGACGAGGGCGACGTCGAATTGAATCCCACATCGCCGGCCCTAACAACAGACATGGAGAGTATCTCTCCGAGCCGGAATCTGGGTTGGGAGGCATATTTCCAAGCGCACTGAGTGCAGTCTGGCATCGCATCTAAGTGAGGGGTTGGCGTATCTGGTGGACTGCCAACAAGCGAAAAGCTCAACCGCCTGCCTCTCGTGCCAAATTTTCTGCCCTCTCCTGGCATGTAGTGCACTGGCCCTCAGCATCATTCAGCTGGGGCGACGTGAGGGCCAGTGTCTTTTGCATCAGTTGCCACGGGCGGCGGCAGAACCACGGAAAGAGGTGTTTGAGTGTTCTCCCGCCTTGGCATCGGGTTCACAATCCCTTTGGATGCAATGTGCTAGGCCATATGACAGGATCACATGTCCATGTCCTGTGATCCTACTGCTTCACCCGGCACATTGTACTTCTTGGACAAGCGTGGTGAGAAAAAGTGCAGAACGACTCTCTCCAGACGCGGTTTGCACCGAGATGAGATGCACCAAACCGTCGAAAATTTTCGAAGGTAACAGCGCAAGCACGGAAGTCAACGCGACCACGCAATGTGGGCAAGCTGCGTCAATGCCGTTTCTGTCGTTCCATGTCCAGCAGGCTTATAGGCTTCGGCCTTACTACCTCGCATATTTCGATACTTCGACAGTTACTACTTCCGTCATCGCCACGCTGGTATAGCTATAGCAGCTACTGTACCGGTCTCAGTCATAGTTTGGTGCCAGCTTGTCACTGCAGCTTCACACAAAGCACAAAGCTCCAACGCCGTATCGCATCTATTCAAGCGCATTGGCGTTCAAGATACTCTCACGAAGCTTGAAGTTCAGGAGCAGAGTAGTTCGTGTTGCGTCTGGGCGGCTACGATGGCTAAGGACCACATGGAGAAGCATTTCTCTCAATTTGGTGAGTTGACCGACTGCTACATGCCGGTCCTGCTCTTACTGACGATCTGTGACGTGGGCAGCGTACAGTAGCTGCCAATTCTACTCACCTTTGATGTTCCTGATGCACCCCTTGCAAACCCGCTTGCCTCACTCACGCAATTTCATGTCTGGTTGCTTCACTTCCACATTGCTATTCTGTCGAAGACTGCTTCATCAATGTGACCACACATAGTCCTGCACAACTGAGTCCGTACCTGGCAGCGGCACCCACAAAGGCTGCGAGAGAGTACTTGCGCTTGTTGGTCTGTGTCACTGTCGTAGAGCTTCAAGCAAGTGACGGACCATCAACCCTCAATAATTTGGGGTTGTCTGTGGTAAGCTTTGTTGCTACCTGTCGAGGCATTTGCTTCGTCTCCTACGTAGACCCGACTTCGCCCGGCGTTCAGAGGTCTTGCTCCTCTCGCTGTTTTCGCAGAAGTGCTGCATGCCGTCCTGCTTGTTCTCAGTGTGGCTCACACTTCTGGTCACAAAGCTGGAGACCCGACTGAGGGTGCAGACCGCCCTCGCTCAAGAGATTCACGAGGCAGTTGCAATTGACATGGCGACATGATCTGACATTGACTGCCGGCTTAGGCTTTTATGTTCACTTCTTGCAGCAAGCCGACTTTGCTGTGCATGTTTGTGCTTTGGCATGCCTGCGAGGATGGGCGGGTGGCGGGCGGGCGGATATGGGTAAGGGGCTTTGTGGGGGTGCCTGTGGGTGCAGGTAACAAGCGTTTGCCTGTGTGCAGACGTTCATTCGGATACCCCTTAGTAAGTTTCAGCCTGGAGGGCGGGGGTCTATGGTGTGGAGCGCATGTTGGGGTGTCGAAGCCGATCGCAGTCATGTAGGTGAAAATCACATTGACTTGTTGTCTTTATTCTGATCTTGCACGCCTGGTGATGGGCGGGGTTCCTGGGCTCTGTTATGTCGCAGTGTTAGGTCGATTTGGTTCTCGAGCAAACGATAGGTACCCGTACGAGCCGTCGTGCTGCAAAGCAACCTACTGCTGCAATCGCTACCCATGAGATGGGCAGATTCTTGCAAACAGCTGAGATTCCATGTAACGCTGCGGAATGTTGCACTCATTACATGCGACGAATCAGTGTCCAGCGTTTCCCCTCCGGACAGATTGACGGCTGCACCGTTGTCGTTGACGTTGCAGCACCGTATGGTGCTCAGACTGATACTCTCACGCTGCTCTTAGCTGGATGTTGTCCGAAATAGGCTAAAATGAGACTCTGCAATGGAAGTACATGACTCGGCGGCTGCGGGTTCATGCTAAATGCTGGAGTCTGGTGCCATGAAGAAGACAGTGATATGTTCTTGCAGCTTGGTGGCAAGGTTGTATAATCGGTCAGTGTGTGAGAACTCGGCGTTTCATGCGTTGCGGGTATGTGCGGTTGCAGGTTAAAGAGAGGGTTTTCTCGCTGCAAGGTTTCGGAGTTTCAGGAAATATACCGCAACAAGAGCAGCCAGTGGGACGAGAGCCGTGCTGAGAAGAAGCGCAATCCTCGTCATCTAAGTAAAGGGTCTCTGCAGCGGAGAGCCATGCTTTCGAGGCGAGGATCCACAGCTCCAGGAGGCAAAGGAGGTGTTCAGCAGGCGAAGTGGGTGCACAGCGAAGGGCAGACTGAGCTTCCATGTGCACATAATCGAAGGCTATAAGCAGCCATCGCCAGATCCAAAGCTTTCCAAACCAGTAGGATCGTGCCCGGGCAAGCTGGCTGCGGACACCTTCCGTGATACTTGTCCAAGCCCAGAAGCACACGGTGTTTTTGCCTGCCAGGTTTCGACTGCAGGCCCGCGGACTCAGTACGTCTCAATCCATACAGTGTAGCCTTAGTCGCAGCGGAGCCAATTCCGGCTTTCAGGTTTCGATGTCTCAGGCCTGGTGTCTTGGGGTTTGGAGCTGGGAGGCGGTGTCTGTGGTGTAAGATCTCGGACATTGCTGGGCTACAAGCCTTGAGAGGGACCGAGAAGCGCCTCTTTGCCTGCAGGCACACTGCCAGGCTTCATTGCGACCCAGATCACCCAGCCGGTGCAGACACCTGTGGCCACAGGACAGGGGTGGGAGGGAGCTTTCTCCGTCCTGAGTCTGAATCAACCCTATGCCTTCATTACAAGCTGCGTTAGACTGGCACTGGCTCACGTACCCTGCATGCGACTGGCACGTGAAACTTAGTGTCGCACGCCAGTGGGTTGAAGGTCACTGGTGATCACAAATTGCAAGACTCTTGGCGGCTTGAGACGTCTCTCGCCAGATTGCTTGTGTCTGGGGGCATGAAGCTCACGGGATGCAAATCGACGGTGCTGTTGTCCCCCGACACCACCCAACACCTGGCTTGGAGGGCGCCAATGGTCTAAAGACATCGAGCACGATGCTGATGGAACGAGATGCTGTGAGTCAGGTCCGGAAGTTGTCCTGGAACCCTTGTCTTGAACTTATACCAGCGCTTACGATGTGTCGTTCCAGAATCCAGAAACTACAGTTTGCCGGAGCGCGGTTGGTTCGCGAAGGCGTTGCGAAAGGCAGCACCAAAGATCATGAATATGCGCAGCGAAAAAGCTCAGCGAAAATCTCATTCTCATATAAAGTATAAATAAATGAGTATGTTATGCCATTCCCTTGTAATTAAATGTTTACAAGACTTCTTTTTAATTGCGAAGTTGAAAGCACAATACTGCTACTGCACTGCTGCTGCCACAGCTACAACTACAACAGCAGCAACTGCTGCTATTGCTAGTGCTACTGCGCTCCTGCCACAACAACAGCAACAACAATAGCGACAGCAATAACAACTACTTTTTCTTTCTGTCTTATGAAGCATGTCCAAGCTTCGCTGACTATGTGCCGCACGAGTGGTGCACAAAGCAGCTTCAATACTCAACAAGAAAAGGCAGCCTTCCAAGATGTTCACGAAAGGGTTACTGTACAGCAAGCCTGTCGCAGTTGAAGCGGTGGCTGTTTCAACTCGCAGTCTGACTTACGCAAAGCTTTGCCGGGCGCTATGACCTTGGCCCGGAGCCACTGCAAAACCACAACCATGCCTGGAAGGCCTCGGGGTGATGCCTGCTACGTTAGTTGAGTACCGAACTACAGCCAAAGAGCGTACGAATGGGCGAAACTGTACATCCCAAGCAATGGCCCCTTGTGCAAAAAATGTTTCAAGAGGCACGTCCATGCACGTACGTCTCGGCTGAAGCAAGCAATGGTTTCAGTCTTACAAGCATCCTTGGCAACCCATGTTGCTTTCTTCCAGCTTTGTGCTGCCTCCAGCTTGTGAAGCATGACATGGCTCGAAGAGCACGACTAATGAAGACACACCTCGACAAAACTAACACGGTCTACATTCGAGCGTGTAGTGCAACCCCATTTGAGGGTGGCGGCCCAATTGAGAACAGACTGCACAGAGTCGCGAGGCAACGACAATCTTGCAAACCATGAAGCCGACACTGGCACTAAAAGGCCCTGCCATCATCTGAAGACTCCAAGCGTTGCAAATTGAAAGTATCAACCTGCACCTGTACGGGCGGCAAAGCAGAAAGTTGCTCAGCCGACTGACCAACAAACTCAAGATTCGATTTTGCTGGTTGCCGTTTTGCAGATTACACACACAATGCTTGGCTATACAGCCGGTGCACATCCGGAAACAGACGCTCAGCTATCTGTTCCGCTTCAACATCTACCATAGAAGTATGGAAAGCATTAAAACGGGCCCTCCCTTGAAGTGCTGTCCAATTCTTATGAGCGGGCACCTTGCGGATTTGGATCGCTTCACGCCTAGCGGCAATCAACCCCTTAAAACATCCCCACAAGTCTTGGTTACACCGACCAGCACCAACCGCAACAGCAACTACTGCCGCTGCTGCTGCGCTGCTTCTGCTACCATTATTACCATGTGATTACATCCTCCTCCTACTACTACTCCTCGTCCGTAGTATGAAGCCTGCTGCGTCGCAACCTTTCTCTGCAAGCAGGATGACTAGAAGTAAGTAGAACGGGCACATCTGGAGCGCTTTGTGGCCTCAGATACAGAAAGCAAGAACAAATAATACATTTCCGGAGTTCCAACAGATGAGACAGGTGAAGGATTACGCGACATGCAGTGCAGGAGGGCCGTGTGTTCGGAAGACGGATGCCCTTCCATTGTAACCGCCATGTTCGTGACGAGGCTTTTCCAAGACTGGCATGATGCAGAGCAGCCTGTCGAAAATTCCCAACGAGACCTAGGCATCCCAAATACCATCAGTTCGGGAAACGGGCTCAAATCGCAGAACGTAGTGCTACCACCACCACTACCACTACCATTGCCACGACGACAACGACCACGACCACGTTGACTGAACGGAAATGAACGGAAGTACAGCCTCACCGAGCGTTTATGCTGTAAACCTGACATGAGCCAAAACCCAAAACTCATACACCGAGTGTTCGTCCTGTCAGCTCCCATGTGTTTCCGCATACAGTGTGTGCATACTTCCGTGTGCGAAGCATGTTGTAGGCAGTCAAACCGGAAGAGGGGTGGTTTGTAAAGAAGGCAAAAAGGGGGCGTGCGAGCAAGCGCCAAAAGAAGGGTTCCCACGTGAAAGACTAGCTTTCAGGTGATGTGCCGGTAGCGGTCTTCTTGTGTCATCCACATGGGATGTTCCTAGCCTTTCGGTAGTATCTGCCTCAGACCTGTCACTGCATTGCGTGAGAATCGAGTCTGAGTTTTGTTGCCAACTATTGGGGATCGTCCGGCGACCAGGTTTCCAAAGCCGTTGCTCAGGGCATGAACGATGCTGGGATTCTCGGATACAGCAAGGTTAGGACCTTAGGAGGTGTAGAACTCGATAGCGCGAGAAGAAGAAGCAGGAGCCCAGGAGAAAGAAAGAAAGGACGAGAGAAAGAGTCGCAGGGAGATAGAGAGAGCGCCAGTGATGACTGGAGGGATCGGTTTTGTGGTGGCACCCGCCCAGGTGACAACAAACAGGTGAAAATGGCGACTCCGGAGATAAAGAGAGAGGGGAACCTTTGTTCTGACTGTGCTTTGTTGTTGCGGGATGTGAGTTTTGCTCTTCTGCTGCGTTTGGGGGAAAGCGAAGTCAAAGGGGGATTGAAGTTAGATTAGGTAAGGCAGAAGCGTCGCGTCCGCAGCATCTGATTGTTTGATTGAGAAGGCCAAAGCCTCTCTGAGAAGCGATGAATACATGCATGCACGCGACAATAAGGGCCTGATCCTCCTGGTGGTGTGAGGGCTACCAGGAATGACAACACAGGCAGCAAGAGTCATAGCTGACTTTGAAAGTGGTGGCAAGCGCTCACACAGGCAGCGAACCATCACAACGGCCACACATGACGAAGGGCACCCACACAAACACTCGGCCCAGTGCGTCGATTTCGTCGAACGGATTGCCAGCACTTGCAACCAGCCTTGTTGTTTCACATGTCGCGGGCATCATCACCATGCAGCAACATAGTCTCGGGGAACACGTTGATTTAATTGATGATGCAACCGCAAGAATGAAGGATGCACGCACAGAAAGTCCCCAACACCCGCTCCAAGATTCCTGGCGAGCTGGCCAAGCAATGTTGCGGCATGTACATCAAGGAGATGAGCTGAGCGTCAGCAAGGGAGAGAGAGAGAGAGTCCAAACACAGCTCAACCGTGCCTCAGATCGCTCATCTTGTTCGGTCCCTCTGGCTGAGTGGAAGAAGCAGCGACAGCCACCCCGTTCTGCTTCGTGTATCTTCATCCGGGTGCGCCGGAAGGAAGGGAGAACCATCCCCCCTACACCAAAGAAACGAACAAGCAGCGACCGGGTCATTGTTGTTGGCCTTTGACCAGCGACCAAGCATGCCGGATGATTCGAAGAATTGCCTGCAGCAGGTGCTGGAGCGTCTGGAGCCCGGTTTGTGGAGAGCTCTGTTGAGGTCTAAGCATAGTTTACATTCGACATGATTCTCCACGTCTTTTGCAGATACCGAATCGGGAAGCTTGTAGGCGGCTTCGTTTCTACTTTGGTGTGGTTCTTGTACAGCATGGTCAGGCAAGGATTCACTTGCGCGGGCATCAAATCCCCAAGAAGTTGAACTTCCAGTTCTGCGCAGTGTAGTCGGTTCAGCCTGCTGGAATGAAGGAAGGCTTCCACTGATCGAGCTGACTGATAGGAATTCCGCTGTTCTCACTCCGACATACTGGCAATGGCACCTTGCTTGTCAGATTGTCAGGCCGGTTCCTGGGCGGCTGTTCCTGACCAAGGTGCCGTCAGAAGTCACCAAGGCCTTCTGCATGAGCCGTTCTGGGCACCTGCCTATGCCGTTGCGATCTCCTGAAGCTCCCTGAGACTGTACGAAAAGTCGTCTTGCCGTGAATTGAGGAACTTGTCTGTGCATATTGTGTGTCGTGTGTTGTCGCTCGGCCGGATCGCTTGCCAGATGGATTTGGAAGCCTACTTCGGACAGTTCGGAGAGCTGGCCGACGTGTATGTGCACGGAAAGGCAGATCACCTGAGTTTAGATAAGATCTGAAGCATGAGATCATGTCCATGCCGCGGCCCTGCATAGATTCTTGTCCCAGGGCATTGCCTTCGTTAGCTTGAAGGACCCAATGGTGCCGGAGCCCCACATTACAGTTCGCATACACACACGTGCGAGCTCTGGCTGTCAGATCTCTCTTGTTTCTTGAATGGTTTTGGCCATAAGCAGTATTTTCTTGAGGGCCCAGCAGATCCTGCAGAACAAGGACCTCTTGAGCGGTTGTTGCTTTTGCCAGTTTGCAGGAAGGAAGAAGAGGTCAGATGCCAGTTTGAAAGGATTAGCATGTTGCAGGGCTCCGGATGAAGACCTAGAACACCATCTCTTGGAAGTTTGAACATGCCCGTTCCCCAAAGCTGCTGTGTTGCCTGGGTCTTCAAAAGAATGAAGCGTGCTGAGCTGCCGCAGGAGCACTTCGTCAAGCCAGACGTGTCCGTCCTTGTAGACCAGGTGCCGGGCGTGGATAGAGAAATCGATTCATTTTTCTGACACCTGACTGCATTTGGGGTGGCTGAGCTAGGATCTTCTCCAAAGAAAGCAATGCTGATCGAGTAGACTGCCCTGGACCTGTTTTTCTCTTAGCTGAGCTGTTGTGTCTGCAATGCGGACCTTGTCGGATTCTTGAACACACAAGCAGGCGTTGGACCGACCTAGCGGAAAAGGCCAGGACCCCACATGCGATGGTCGTGAGAAATTGATCACGATCGGCTTCATTTGCAAGCCAATCCTTGGCTGATAGCTGAGCTGAGCGTTTGTTGAAGAGCTTTCCACATGCCGCCCAAGAGGGCAGAAGCTCAGTGCATGTTCACCGTGGATGCCCGCTGAGCACGTGCGAGGTGTTCACTGCAAGGTTTCATATAGGAAAGATGCATCACGAATTAAGCCCACGACATGGAAAAACGTTAGTAGTCATTCAGTGAGTGATCTTCGAAGTTCGCGGTGTATAGTGTATATAGTATATTCTAGCCGTGGGCTAGGCCCTACCTGCAGCAATTTAGTCCAAGATATTTAAGTCACGAATCTGCTGAGGCACGAAGGGCCTCGTTAGCCAGCAGCCGCAATTGCCAACGCAAGCACCAGCCTTTGCCTTTGCGGTGGCCTTGGCACGGCCAGTATGATTCTGATCTGGTCCCTTGCTTCGTCAGACTGGTTGATGCACCTGCAAGAGTTACCTGGTCGGATCCACGAACAACATTGCACATCTCTTGCAAGCTTTCGATCCAACCGCACGGGAAACATTTGGCGCCATGACAGCAAGCTTGAGCTGCAGCAAGTTGCTTCGTAGGGTTTTGAATGTGGGTATCAGAACAGTCGACAGGGCCAGAGTTCCTGCGAGCAAGACGGTGGAAGACTGTAATTACACTGCTGGAACCAAGAAGTTTGCCGGCACAACTCAATTTCCGGATGCCCATGCATGAGGCAACTCCACAGGCTTTTCCTGCTTTTCCAGGCCACTGCTCGGCTCTTCTGACAGGAAAGTGTTCAATGCAAATCTAGGAAGTGCACGGCCGTGTCGTCATGACTATGAATGCCCACAGTCGGGAGAAGCATCTTACGAGCACAGGTGCCATGGCGTTTCAGCCAGCTTTCCAGGGATGCTCGGCAAAGATCAGATTCCGAGGTCGCACCGGAACAGGTAAACTTGCCGCAAGCTGCGTCACTTGAATGATGCTGAAAGAGGCTGTCGGAGTTCCAGCATTATCATTGTTCGTGTTGATCTGTGGACGTACTACGGTGAAGTCTTGTAAATAAGTGGAGGGCGGCCAAAGTCCCGAGCCACAGGTAGCATGAAAGTGCTGTGTAACATCTTAACAGAAATAAACTCCGTCGTCTCCACCCCATCCTCCCCTGCGCCCCTCCCGTCCACCCCCTCCGCCCCTCCCCCTGGCTCCACGATCCCTCCCCCAAACACTCCACCCCACCACCCCCACCCCCAGCACTCCACCTCCAGCGCAGAGATGGAGGGCCGGAGTGGTGGGTGGGGTGGAGGTGGTGGGGGAGGTGGAGGGTGGAGAGAGGTGGAGTGGGGGTGGAGGGGAAGGGGGTTTAAAATGGTAACAGATCTGTTTAGGTATTAAGACACTCACATATTTAAAAATAGTCACCGTAGTATCTTTTGCAGCGTCTTTCTCATGTGCGAGCTTGCCTGCACAGCAACAAGCTCGTGAGCTGCGGATTCTTGCATATGGCATAAGGACTGCAGACGGGGTACCAGCAGCCGCAGCAGGCCCACTGCTGTCAAGATTGCTGACTGCACCGTGATGAATTCGTTCCTAAGTACACTTGCCTACAGGCATGCGTTCGCCATCTTGAGTTGTCATGCAGCGTAAGTGGAATCGTTTAAAGGCAAATTGCTCGCCGGAGCGGATGGATTTTGGGAGAGAGTGCATGTAGAAGCAAGAGCGTTGCCGAAGGTTTGGGGTGGAAAAGGAGGGTCCGTGACTCAGTTTCTCTGCAAACCAGCGTGCAGTGGCAAGGAAGAAGGTGGCGTGTGACAAACCTATACATAACTTGCAGCAGCACTGTGCCATCTAACAGTCGTATAGGCGGGTCCTGGAATTGACTCATTGCTTCGCTGGCTTCTTCTTGTGCTCTCGCGTAATCCAAAGACAAGGTGTTTTGCTCTCTCGTACATGGGTGCCAAAGACTGCCGATTGCCCCAAGGTTTATGCGCTTCGGCCCCTACTGAGCCGACCAGTGCGGTGCCGCGAAGCATCGCGACGTGATAAAAAAAAACGCGAATTATGAATTTCATGTGTCGCAATTGACGGTGCTGATGCCGCATCAACTCCAACGCAAAGCTCTCGGCCCCCGCCATTTTGGCTTTGGCTGACAAGTGCAACGGTTCAACTCCAGTAGGAGACATGCCTACAGCACTCTCCTGCCTTCGTCTGCTGCGCCGCATGCAGAACATTTCATGATGATTGCCATGATTTGAATATATACTACGCTTTAGCCGGACGGCATCGACACACAAAACGAACGAATTGGGATATCAATGGTTCTATACTTATAACAACTTGAATATGGATAGGTCAGGATCCCTACTAATATTGAATTATTGAATTGATATTGGTTTGCCTGGAATTGGGGTCGGTTGGGATTCTTAGCACTAGTTAGGTTTATCGCAGTAGGCAAACTCAGCCTAGTCAAAGCCGATAACCCCCGCCTAGTGCTAGATAGCACCATTTCCCAGGTCAAATCCCTATGCCGCGTACCGGAAGCTTTCAGCCACAAGACCCCAGAGGCATTTACGTGGCAGCCAGCATAGATTTCAAAGCAGCCCATAAACGCGTCAAAGTCCACAGATCCGAGCAAGGCCTACTGCTCTTCGCATTCAAGCGGTTCTTTGGAGGTACGTAGTTTGCCACTTCGGAGCAAAATTCTCGGCCTACTGGTGGCAGCGAGTAGGAGGCCTTATCACGCGCCTAGCCCACCATATCCTGGCCGCCTTGCCTCACAGAGCTTGGCTCTACATGGATGACCTCCTAGCAGCCCTGCTCCGAGCCTCAGCCCACGAGGCCCTATTTCTGCTCATAGCCCTTCTCTCTTGCCTCGGCGCCCCCATAAGCTGGAAAAAGGCCTAGTGCCGAGAAAAGAGTTGGAGGCCTGCATCGGCCTTCTCATGTGGGCCACCAACATCAGCCAAGTCCTCCGATCATACGTAGCACCTCTCTACAGCCTTCTACATAGCCCCCCGGGCTCAAACTACTCGATAGCCCCAAGGATGTGGCCAGCCTTCCTACATTGCCTGGACTCACGTGCCGTGATCTCACGGGAGCTCGTGGGGGTTAACTTGCCCATGAACTCCAGGGTCATCGAGGTGGCCAACAAGCTTATCCATTGCAAAGCCGATCTGCCAGTCTTCCCCAAGCCTATGGGAAATACATGGGTCAGAATTTCGGACCCCTCCTGCCCATACATTAAGGTCACCAAAGCAGCCCAGGACAGCCTCCGCTGGCTCCTGCCCAGAACTCAGTCTATACCAACGACGCCTCTGTCGCTGCCACCTCTGCTCCCCAGCCTAGCAAGAGCAGATGCCATGGCCGAGGGTGACAAAGTGGCCATAGGATGGGTCTCCACCAAGCACAGCCTCGTCTGGTTTGCGGAGGCCTACGACATGTCGGAGGTCAGGTCCTACTGGCCTTTCCTGACCAAGGACGCCCAACAATATATAGCCTGCTTCAAGACCCTCAGCTCGCTCGCCTTGGCCATGACAGCCAAAGCCTATCATGGCCAGACCCGCCTCAGCCTATGCTTGCCCACTCAAAATGACAACACCCCCACAGAGGGAGGTGTCAACAAGCTGTCTACGACCAGTTGGCCTCTCTCGCTCTTCCTAGGACTGATAGCCTCGTGGAGCTCGGCCAACAGCATTCACCTGCAGGTCTCGCACGTGGCGGGAGCCCACAATGAGTGGGCAGATGACTTAAGCCGAGGTCGTCTGCAAGCCTTCGAGTATCGATCTTAGGAGCGCCTTCGCATACCTCTTAGCCTTCTAGCTTCAGCGGAAGCCTCTGCCTCCTGGTCTCCCTCCCAGCCAGGGGAGGAGCCTCCATTTCGCCTTCAGCCAAACGGTTTTAAGTCGTGACCTCGCCATCATGCCACAAGAGAAAAAAGCGCGGCCTCCCGCCTCCGGCTGTGAGCACATCACAAGTTTGCGGGCCTGGTCGCCTTTTACTGAGGCCAGATGCACCGCCCGCGGTGGGGGATATCGACATCGCGTGCGCATCTGTTCACTGAAGAGGGGGATTTTTTATGCCATCGGCTAGCCTACTGGCTTAGGGCATTCCCCTGCTAGCCGCGAGCCTAACAGATGCAACACGGCACAAAAAGAGAGGCCTATGTTCAGTGCTAGAGCAGAGCAAGCCTAGTTGAACGTTACACGTTTTGTTCGGGTATGTTTTACTAGTCTTGTGAATCTGTACACTGCCGAAGTGTCTGGCTCTGGCACTTGAACCTCTCGAAAAGCCCACCCACCCACATCCAGGTACCGTGCCTTCACGAGTGCCACAGCCTTAGACGCTTTCGCAAGGCAGCCTCATCGCCTTGCATCATGGGGCCCGCAAAGTCGTGCCCCATCTGTGCAGGACAGCCTCTGCTCCGCCTCGGACCTCGCCCTTCTCTCAGCCTTGATCTGTTGGTTCTAGCCCCACGACCCATCCCGACCCACCCTCGCACAGGTTCTGACGCCTACATCGTCTTCCTGGGACTTTGTCTACAATACTGTGAAGCCTAAGACATTTCGTTTCACGTCCTCGTCCGCCTGCCTTAGGTCGGACCTCCTAGTTGCCTTGACCTCAGCAGCCTCTGCGAGGTCCTGCCTCTATTTAGCCCAGCCTATCCACTTGAGGCGCCCATCCTCAGCCGCTGAGGATCTGCCTACTCTTCTCTGGCTCTCCTTAGAGCTCAGGTAGTGGCCAGCGCAAGATAGGCTTCACTTTGCAAAAAAGCCGAAGCGCCGTGTTGTCCCTCTTGGCCTAGTCAGAAGGTCATGTCTAGTCCAGCCCCGTATGCAGGTCTGGACAAGTCGCAAGCGCAGCCACAGCCTCAGACATCCGTTGATTAGTTCGGCAGCATTTCACAGCCCAGTTCCCACTCAGCCATGTCGGATCTCAGCTCTCCCGAGAAGCCTAGGAGCGAATCCAGTCAGGACATTAGCGCTCTACAGTCATGGACGGAAGTCCACTCGGTCAGGTCGCCATCCCCGCCGGGAAGGGCAGACCTGCCGACAAGCACGGTAGCCTCTCCCTGCTGCACCGACGCCTACAACCGATCAGCCCACGGTGATCCCGGACCATCTCAGCAATCCGGCGACACCGCAAGTGTCGCGGGTGGGAAATTCCAAGGTGGTGTGCGTAGCCAAGCGCCCCAGAGCCCGCAGCCGAAGCCGATGCCTACCGCTTCAATCTGCCTCCGCTTCAACTCAGGACAAAGCCGTGCAACAGGCCAGTGCCCCAGCTCATCCCATAGCTGCCGGACCTGTGCCAACACCTCAGCCAAGCCCCTTCAGCCTCTAAATCGGACCCCTCTTCGACCCACCCCTCCCTTCACGGTGGCATCCATCAAGCGGCCTCGCATGCCGTGGGAGCAGCCGACTCAGCATACGAGCTCACAGGGGACTTTCGCGTGCGCGCACGGGCCAAGCTCCCTCAGGCGCCTCATAAAGGAGGTTCGCCCCCTACGTTCGCCGTCCCACCGCCCGCCGCCCAGATGGGTCTTTATTAGGGCCAGCCTTACCTAAGCCACACCCAATGCTCAGGCCCCCGCCTCGAAGCCTTCGCTTTTGCTAACCGGGTTTCCGGTGCACAGACAATCCAGGGCGCCTCGCACCTTCTCGGTGCAAGACCTCCCGTCATATAAGCACAGACCGGATAAGAAGCCTAGGTCGGCGCGCGCACCTCCGCGTCCTCACCTGGATCAGTCAGGCCCAATTTTTAGGGAACACCAGGGGCCAGGAAAGCATCTTGCTGCACACAGTGGCGCCAGCTCCTCGAGTTACTAGGCCCGGAATACAGCTCATTGCAGCAACATCTCAGCAGCTCCAAGCATCCTGAGGGCCTAACAGCCAAAAGCCTCGCCCCTTTCACAGCCGGTACAGTCCAGCGCTACCTGTCCTCGGCTAGGCAGTTCATTGACTACCTAGCCTTCAACTGCGTCGAGATATCGGCCTTGACGACAGCCCAGCTAGCCGACTTCCTATACGCCTGCGAACAGGGCCTCGAGGAGGACAGGGAAATTTGCCGCCTGGATCCAAGTCGGCGCTCAAGGCGCTTTCTTGGCTGTCCCGCGCAGCCGGCCTATCGCCCTTGTGGTCCATATTCCAGGACAGCCTAATTACCGCCTTCAGGTCCCAAAAGGTAGCCGACCGACGCGAAGCCCTACCGCTGCCCTTGGCCGTCGTAGTGGCGTGGGAAAGGCGCCTATGTGACGCCGACTGCCCGTCAGACTTGTGCATTTTGCTTGGGGGATTCCTTCTTGCCGTGCATGGGGGCCTCAGGTTCGGTGATCTCCAGAGGATTCGCCTATCCAGCCATCCAGCCTGTCCCTCACAGCCTCCAGCCTCAGAGGGGTGTGCTGGCAGACTAAGACTACCAGGCAAGGGCAACCGTTTCCGGTATTTCCGGCAGATCAGTGCCTACCCTATGGGTCTTGCCATTCCTGCGAGCCGTGCAAGCAGCCTGGATCAGGACAGAGCAAGCCTATTCCCAGCCTCTCTGCCCTGACTTCATCCTAGGGGGCACTAATTCCGCCGACTCGGCCTATGTCATACAGACAGAGCCTCAGTGCTATGCGATTCTTCATGGGAGTTCCTTGGCAGCCTTCCTCTCAGCCTTCTCCTGTGTCCTTCGAAGAAGCCATGGCGTTCGCTACACAGCCTTAAGGTCTGCCTCTTGTCAGCAGGTGCCCAGGTTCGAGCTGCAGAACAGGCCAGACAAAGGACACCGCAAGAGCCCTAGCGTCCAGTTGTACAGCCGCGACGACACTTTGATGGCCTTAGACCTGCAAGCCCAAATTGGTCAAGCGTGCGCCGAGGGCTGGCGACCTACCAGACCTATCGCTAGAGGAGGACAGCCGCCTACCCTAGAGCCTCTTTCAAGTCCCCAGGTCGACACCCCCCTCGAAGTTTCAGCTGGACGCATTCGGCGATGGCCTCTCGCGATTCATTTATGCGCGGGAAGCAGAACT